TTACTGTGGCGGCTATTGTTAACACTCGTATTGATAAAATTTGCAAGCGATTGTTTTTATAATATGTTGTGTGAATGTAAACTGCCAGAAGAATACGACAACATGATTTTATGCGATCTCTGTGATGGTTCCACTTTAGATGTGTAGAATATGACACTAGTCTAAGTACCTCAAATGAGTGGTTATGCAGACTGTGCAGTGTGCACACTACCAGCTGCTAAGAAGCCTAAAATGTGTATGTAATTTTGTCTCCTTGTAATAAATAAATAAATAAATAAAACACAATAAATCTTTTCAACTTGCAATCGTTTTGTTTGTAGATCAAAAATTCAAAATTTATATGGGGGGGGCGAAATTCCTAAAGGGGGGCGATATTCCTAGGAGATTCGCCCCCCTGGGGGGCGATATTCCTAGGAGATTCGCCCCGGGGGGGGGGGGCGAATATCCTAGGAATATCGCCCCCCTTTTGAGAGGGGGCGAATCTCCTGGGGGGCGAATCTCCTGTGACACCGGCACAATCCGAAAAAGTCGGGCAAATTTCTTTCCGCCCCCCTAATTTTTTCCTTCCCGTAAGCCCACGGATAGGGACGAGTTTGACATTAGATACCTAGTCGTGAAGGGCTTGGGTGGAAACGTCCGCGCATATCCTGCTGCGCTCTTCACTTTAGTTCGAAGTTCGAACGCGTAATATCAAGAATTTTTGTTAAATATTCAGTTTGGCATTGCCGATCACTTACACGCGTTTTTCTAAAACAGAAATTATTTAGCAAAAGCGGTGTTTGAGCGAAAACTGGAAATTTAGAGCATTTTTCGACGCACGATGTTTACACACGACTTTTTACCCACGACACACGACCAAAACTCAAACTCAAACTCCTGCCTCGTACCCAGGCGCTTACATGAAGTATTCAGGTAGGCATCCGACGCGCGAAGGGGCTGTTGGGAAGGGTTCAAGTGCACTCTTCCCATCAGCCCCTTCGCCATCTCTCCCCACTACAATACTTCATGTAAACACGTCATATGGGCATCACTGTTTTTTTACAAAGAAACTGGGTACGAGGCAGCTCAAACTCGGTAAACTGATAACGATGCGAATAAATCACTACTTAATTAGTTTGGAGGTTTTAGATGTCATCACAGATGTCATTTGCTTGCTAAAACGCACTTTGATAAAGGGTTAGGATACAACGCTGATACGGATGGACGTCTGGACGGATCGATGACAGACAGACGGACGGACGGACGGACGGACGGAAGGACGTCAGTTTCATCCAAAATGCAGATGATGGACATGGTTCAGAAAACGTTTTCATAAAGGCATGGGTAAAACGCGTTTTGGGCTATGACTGTTAAATGACGTTTAAACGAGAACATGCAAAATTGAGCGCGTAGTGAGCTGTTTCCATCACCTTAATTAAGTTAATTAGACACCATTTGGCATGTGGTGAATATCACAAAATTTGACTGTTGAATACACAACCCAAGGCGGCTCGCTACACTTTTTTAAAAATTAGAGATTTTCTGATTTGGATATGAATTTGTGAAGAATTATTATTTGTTTAAACTACAAAGACTATTTGACTTGTGTAACATAATAACTAAGGAGTTCGGAATTTTTAAAAAACTACTCCTAACTACCGTTGCTATGGCAACAATGACGTCGCAACATGGCGGATATTTTCTATTTAAAGTAATTTAACTCGAAAAAAACTTCGGTGACCCCCATTTCTTATTTCATAAAATGATTTATTTTAATATTTTGAATTATTTTCATGATTAAAAAAAATTAATAATGGAAAAAAAAATTATTACGAATTTTCACATTTTCCTATCTTGAAAACTTTCGGCATGACAGAATTTTTTTAAAATCATGAAAATAATTCAAAATACCAATAGAAATCATTTTATAAAATAAAAAATGGCGGTCACCGAAGTTTTTTTCGAGTTAAATTACTTTAAACATAAAATATCCGCCATGTTGTGACGTCATTGTTGTCATAGCAACGGCTGTTAGGAGTAACTTTTGAAAATTCCAAATCATTGTTCCGAACTCTTTAGTTATTGTGTTATGCCAGTCAGATAGTCTTCGTTTTTAATTAAACAAGTAATAATTGTTCAGAAAATCATATCCAAATTAAATCCGAAAATCTTTCATTTAAAAAAGTGTAGGGAGCCACCTAAGCCTAGGCCGTTTTCCATTTTAATCGTATATCGTACGGTACCGAAGGCGAAGCGTATTTCTTTGTATCCTGAGCACCAAGAAAGATTAATGCATGAGTCAATTCCTGGAGTAACCATCCCCCCCCCCGGGAATTTGCCCGATAGACAGTTCACGGGGGTCGGGAATTTGCCTTTCATACATGTGCACGGGGGCCGGGTATTGGAGGACCCTGGGGATTTGACAAATGGTTGACCAAAATCCCACCCACAAATTTTAAGGCAGCAATACCTAGTTTCAGGCACGCATGTGGGCGCGCTGATCGTATTTTGCGCCCTCGTGGTCAAGGTGGCGTGAAATTTATTGTAAGAATAAGCGAAAATTATACCCTGTGCCATGCAAATTTAAATACAACTATTAAAGGTTTATGTTTTATAATATTCCATTGCAGTTTAATACTATAATGTTATTAAATGACTATGATTATATGCCATTAAAAGTTTAATTAACTTTTACAGTCGATTTCACGAAACTTTGACCACAAATTTTCCGAACTTCGTTGCGAAGTTCACAAGATTGTTGCGAAGTTCAAAAGTTCATAATGAGATTTACAAACCAGTTCGTAAACTACGCATTTGATTGGCTTCTTTTACTTCACGGACCAATCAGGGACTTTGTTTACAAATTGGCTTGTGAATTCCAATATGAGCTTCCGAACTTCGCAACGAACTTGCGAACTTCGGAACATTTGTGGTCAAAGTTTCGTGAAATCGACTGTAAAATCGTCCCCGGGGTGGGGCATTTTCCACTCTCAGCTTGCCCTGGGGCCGTGCATTAGTCTTCAAGTTGTGTCCCGGCACCCGGGCATTTACACTATCATAACCAATCAAATCAAATGCCCGGGTGTGTTCCCGGGGGGGATGGTTACTCCTGGAATTGACTCAGTCATAAGACATAACGCCGGAATAGGCAAAACAGTGAATCATGACATTACAAAAAAATTACATGTCCGCAGAGTGTGCATTTTGCTTTTTAATGAAACTTAAAAATTCAAGGTACTTTTATATAATTAAGAGTCAGTTTCTCTATTTAGCCGAACAGCAAACAAAGATTCGATTAGTCAGTTCTGTGTACGGCTTGACTGCCAAGCTTTCTCAAGGTCTCAACTTGCTGGACGCGGGTATACCAGGGTATATCTAACGGGCTAACAACAGCAACAATAAAATTCTCAATCGTACCACGAAGAAGGCGATGTAGCTCAGAAAACAACGCCACTAAAAATAAGACTTTTGCCGGCGAAGCCAGTTGGCAGAACATCTTGGCTGTCAACAACAAGCTTTCGAATAGATGACTAGTTTGGCTGTTCTTTCAGCGTCGTGTGTCCAAAATTCGTCAAAGATTTTGATCTGATAAAGACCTTTCAAAATACTATTTGCTTGATTTATTTTCTGCCATAAAGCATAAAAGAAAAGAAATTCGAAGAAATCGATAATGGATTTGTTACGTACGTTTGACCTTTATATTATTATTATTGTCCCCTTGAGCCCTTGATCGGGCTATTTTTAAAACTGTTGTTTATGTGAACTTGCAACCAATCAAAATCTTAGGGCCTGAACTTCAGGTTAAATCTACAGGCACGATGATTTATATTTGAAGTATTCAAGCGCCAACAGCGGTATATATTTATTATATAGTTTTCTTTGTTTTTCTTCATTTTAAATACTACTACTGTATTTCTGGACCGCTCGGCCCCTCCAGGTAATGAAAATTTATACTATTAATACGCGCAAAAAATTACGAAGTGACTATATGACCGGCAGCCGGTCACGGTTTATCAAATACTATAAATGGCCGGCAGTCTAGTGACTATTGTTAAAGTTGAATTTTTATAAGATAAACCGATCCCCAACCCCAAACCCTTCTCTAACCCTAACTCCTAACCTTTTGAGAGTTAGAAAAGTCGGAAAAAAGTTTAAAAAATTTTAAGAAAAAATTACCAGAACCCGCCCGCCTCACAAAATGAACCAATTTCATTGCTCGACATATACAAGTGATCTATGGTCACAACCGCTAATTACAGACGTCTGGTATTTCTATTATTATATTGGAACGAAACATTATTTCTTTTTTAAAGAAATATTTTCTTGTTGCCGCTATGATTACACACATGCAGTAACAGTTTGTACCGACATTAGATATACTGTACGAAACATATTATCAAACACGTGGAATAATATTTATCTTCCTTGATATTTATGCGCTAACGAACGACACTGAAATTAACGTTCGTAAATCGAGCTGGCGCTTCGCGTTCATACATCCCAACGAGAAACGCCGGGCAAAGAAAAAATTTACGCTACGAGGCAATGATGAGTAAATAAAATTGTTATTTTAAAACTGTAATCATTCTTTTGAGATAAAAATATAAAGCGAAGAAGTAAAACGAAAATTCGACTTTGCTGTTTGCAAATGCAACGAACTGACGAAGCTCTCTTGGGAGCATTTTAAAAACTGTTGCCTCCCTGGCCTGAAGAGTCAAGAAAACGTAAACAATGCAAGGAGCCTATATCAGAAGACCAATAATTAATATGGACTATATCATACCGTACCTTAATAAATCTAGAAATGAATCGACAGAATCGCGTTCGATATTGCCGGATGCTTTATTTTCTTCATTAACACCAGTGCCAGGTTTAATTATGGTCGCAAGAATTAAACCAAGTATTGCCGAAGGTATTGTGGTTGTTATATAATAGATCATGGTTCTCTTGCCCAGGCGACCAGCACTTTTGATATCGATATCATTCAATGCAACAATGATGCTTGAGGTTATCAATGGAATTACGATCAATTTCAACATTCGTATGAAAAGTTCGCCAGGAAATTTTATATACATAGCGAGTCTTCGAGGTGAAGGATCTTCAGAATTCTGAACAAGATCATGACATAAGATACCAATAATACAACCAAGCACGACACCAACAAGAATGCTCAATAATAGGCAATGTGATTTGAGAAGGTTTAAAATTTTTGACCGGTTTGTCCGTTCCATCGTTTACGTAGCAAAATATATTAAATAACTTGCTATTTCAGAGCTCGTTCGCGTGTATTTCTGTGATCGCAAATAAACAGTATCAGCTTTGTTTGTTTGATCACAGCATAGTGAATAGAATCTCACAAGATGGGTTTACTATTGGTCGAGGGTAATATCTCGAGGGTAATAGGTCGTGGGCAATGGTAGAAAGTTGATCGTAAAAATATGAGATTTTGAGTGATTTTGAGTGATTTCCGAGAGCTAGGAGGAGATTTAATCCCAATGTCAATGTTTTAGCCCTATTGTTGAACCCACAGGGCAGTGAATGCTGCCTTGGTATAGCATTGTTCCCAAATCTTTAATATTTAAAAACCAAGAATAAGAAATATTTGTAATGAATAGGTCGACTCAAATTACAATTAGATTCGGCACATTGACACCCATATTTTATACATCAACATTTTCAAAAACGACCAGGGGTTAAAGGGCAATGAAAATAGTGAGAGACAATAGTTAGGGGCTGATTACATGGACCGGGCCAGCCCGGTTAACCGGGCTGAAAAATGTCACGAAAATCTTCCTTGGGCCGCAAAATGAGTTTTGAATCAGGTTTAAGATGATTTTGCATCCATAATAAACCAATTATTTACCGCAAAATTATTTTAGGCGAGTTTTAAAACCACAATAAGGTCCTAAACAAACGAGTCAGCCCGGTTAACCGGGCCAGCTCGGCACCATGTAATCAACACCTTAGTCACATTTAATATGTGTGATTGTGCGTCTCACTAAATTTGCGTGGTTAATAATGTTTATCAAAGAAGGAAAGATATATACGCACTGCCTTGAGATACAGTACGAGTATAAATACAAATGACAATTAGCATTTTTAAATCCTAAGACATAATTAAATCATATGGCACATCGTATTTCGGCCGCGTTCACTTCTTGGCGCTTCGCTGCGTAATCTGCGTTATATTGATTCGGAGAATGAGGAAAACGTTTGGCGACAGAGTTTTTGCCAAGGCTGGTCCATTCTTGTGGAACGAACTTGTGGGGCGTCGACAGTGGAACTTTTAAAATCAGACTTAAGACCTTTAAAAAAGGCATTTTATCTTTAAATATAATAGTAAATTTTAAATTTGTATACAGGGTGTCTAAAAAAACGCTATGGAAATTCAACAGGCTGTCGTGCATCCTCAACTTTGCTAAACAATTCAATTTTTACATAGGACGAAAGAGCTGTTATTTAGCTTTTCAATGATACCTTTTTTAAATCGTAACGATGAGAAATGGCCACATTACCCACATACTCGTCGAATAAAAATTGCCGGTCGAAATCGCATTCTTCCACCGTTGGGAATTGAAAATAATTAATTATGCAAAGTTAATCTGCTACAAGCTATTTGTTTCGTAAAACGTTTGAATACGAATGTTCAGTGGTTATTTGAATCATATTTAATGCAATGATGGACGTTCTTATCGTCTCACTAAGACGACGATTGACGAGTTGAGCTCATTTTAGATAATTTAACATTCAACTTTAATTCCCTCTTGGGAATTGTCTATGTTTCGACAGTTTCGTTTCCCATGCAATTCCCAACGGTGGACGAATGTCAGAATGTGATTTCGACCGGCAATTTTTTTTGACGAGTATGTGGCCATTTCTCGGTGTTACGATTTAAAAAGAGTATATCATTGTAAACCTAAATAATTGTTCTTTCATCCCATGTAAAAATTGAATTGTTAAGCATAGGCGTACGGGAGGGTGGGGCTGGGGAACTGCAGCCCCCCCCCCATTTTTTGAGAATTTATCTATTCGGGCAAAAATTGTCTTGTCATTCGGGCAACGACGGTATGGTGATTAGACGAATATATTGATCCATAAAGCGGAACAGAAGTATTATTTCAACAAGTTCAATTTTTACAGGTTTAATCATGCACTGTAAATCTGTAATGGCAACGTTTGTGTATATTTATTAGAGGGGGACATTGGGATTTACGGTATGGCGGTATTAGCTTATTTTTCTTATGGTATTTCGGTATTTTACTTGAAAAATTGCGGTATTACGATATTGGAAATCTTGCGGTACACGATATTTGCAATTTTGGACTCAAAACTGTGGTAATTGCCAATATTTGCTTGCGGTATTACGGTATTGAATACCCCCTCAATCCCCCTCTTATTACTACCATAGATCGCATAGCTGGATTCAAGCATGTTGCATCAGGTTAAACTTTATTATTCAAAATTCCGAGGTTGGAAAAAAAAAATGAAAAAGGTCAAGTGCTCTAACTTAATCGGATTTGGTTTTGATTTTTACGCACATACCACAGACGTAAATCCCAGTTTGCAGAGTGTGTCATGCGCGATATTATTTTTGAGTAAGTCATTGTGTACGCCAAAATGTCATGTGTCACACCGAATGAATGTTTTGACTACTGACTACAGTAAACGACGCTTTTCGCGTCTACACAAATAACACAATGGAAACAAAATTTATTTCAAATTCTCATAATATATATCTTTCAACAGAGTGCTATAAACAGTCAAACAGATATTACAACAACAAGGGCGAAGAATAGAAATAATTGTCAATTAATTAATTTCAACATCGTTACTACCATTTGCAAGCAAGCGCAAAACCCAAACTTTTTTTCGCGTTTGTTTACGTTTCAAACGTACACGATGGGCGGGTCAAACGTGCATGTTGAAACGTAACAACAATTAGTTTGAACCGCGAAATAGTCACGTTAATGTCCTCACCGTTTAATAAATATATATATATTGAGATATTTAATATAACGACACGCATAAGAACACAAGGTTTGTGGGGTTATGGAAGTGTGGGACAACTGCTCTATATACTGTATTTTTTATCTGCGAAGAGCTGGGTGCTGAGCGGTTCCCAGGGCATATACTCGTATTGAAAAGCTGGATCTTGGAGAAAGTCGATTAGGACATATACTGATTTGCAGCTGGGTCCTAATCTGCCCAAGACATATACTTTTACGGATTTTGAGCTGGGTCCTGAGTCGGCTAGAACATATACTCCATTTAGAGCTGGATCCTAGCCTGCCCTGCAAGACATATACTCTAAGCTGGGCCCTGGGAAAAAATTATCAGGGAAATATTTCTTAGAACACTGATCTGGCTCAGCACATATACTCATATGCAGAAATAGAGTGATTTTGTAAATGGGAATTGGCTGTATGCCAGGTTGCCAAATTCCGTAAAGAAAACGTGAGGTCTATGGTAAAATTGCGACCTCATACTAGAGCAATTGCCTCAAACACTTCATTCTTTATTTATTATTTTATTAAATACATAATAACATTGATATAACAGTCTAGTGAATGTCGATAAGCGTTTAATAACCAACGAAGATAATATTTATATATAGATCTAAATATAGTTCAATGTTCCCGAGAATTCAATATCACTCCCTAGGCGGGCCCATAACATACCGTAATTACTTCCAAGTATCACCTTTTACCATCTCGTTACATCAGGGAAAAGGCTGGAGCATGGGGTGGTTGGTGGGTGACTCTTTAAATCAGTCTTTACAGCTCGCAATCCAAGTAAGAATGATATAGGCAGATAAAGCTAACTCGGATATCTGCCCATGTTTAACTATAGTTTCATTGTTATAGTTATGACTAGGTCAAACATAGTGGTTTGGACAATAATTAATAAACGATACTGGGTGCAGTAGCCTACGGGTTTGGCAAGCAAATAATGAAAGTCTGTGGTAGAGTCTTCCTTTGTTTAGACAATATACTGTTATTTTCAGGGAGTTAAAATAACTCCCCTATTACTCCTTTTTAGTGGAGTTAAAATTTTAGGGCTACGTTAACCCCATTTCAGGAGTTAAAGTAACTCTCATTGAGGAGTAAGGGGATACGGGCGAATAATTAGTATGCAAAATTAACTCTTGATGGTGGAGTTATTCAGATATAACTCCATTTATTGGAGTTATTTGGTATAAAAGGCAAACAAAATGGCGTCGTGTTTTCGGCTTTTTTAATAGTTTTAACTCGGCCAGATTGCTTTCCTTTCTACTGCACTCAAGAAAAAACCCCGTGAAAATTATACGGGAGGTAGGCGAGAACTGCATTATTCATGTTTCAGGTAAGTGAACATATTTTACTTCGTGTTTAATATAAATATTCAGATGAGAGGAGTGACATTTTTGGTCACAGCAGCTCAATGACGCAGTCTTTTATTAGAACTTATTTTTATTATTCTGTGGTGATGTGTTGTATCATATTAAATTTAAACGTAGCAAGTACAAATTGTACACATTGTACTTGTCATACAGTACAATACAATCCACTATTATTAGTTAAAACAAGACATGACAGCTATGACAACACAAAATTCATTATATTTCATTACAGTACAACAAAGTATATAGTACAATTTTGCATCACACAGTACATTACAGTACAATATGCCTGAAAGTACAATGCACCAAACGACAGTACAGCACAATTTCGCATAGTTAAGATTACTGTAGCACAGTGAAGTACAGCCGAGTTTAAAACACATAAAAATTCAGTGCAGCACAATAGAGTTTGAGGTGATTAAGCTGGTTAACCCACATTAATGTAAAATACCCTCCCTTGAAAAGTAAAATTGTCTGGAATTAGACAAAGTAAAATACCAAAGTAGGATGCCATGGGCAATGAAGTGTTTAACACAACCCAGCCATTGACAGCCAATGTACTGTAGTGTTAGTAAATAGCACAGCATTAGTGCAACACATCACAAGTCTTATAACAGTCTTATTTTGGACATAATTGAATGAATATGCCTCACTGCTCAAGACAGTAATTAGCACTGCAGAGCAGATAGAAGAACATGGCTAAGCATATAACACCACAACAAGAATACAGAATGGTGCATGTACAGTACAGTACAATACAGTATTATAGTGCCATACCACAATATAGTATCAAGATTCTAAGTAGCATCTCACTTGATTGAATAATATAGTTAAAGGGTTTTGTAGATGGCAATTATCAAGTGGAAATTTATATATATACATTTATTTGACCTAACCATGAATAGCTACAAAAAAATGCAACTATATCCCATTGAGTGGCGATGCACCCCACTTTAGTATTTTAGTCTGTTTAACGCCAGACGATTTTGCTCATCAAGGCGAGTGCGCTGGCGCTTAATGGGTTAAATTAACTGTCCTATCTGCTCATGTGTCTAGTTAACTGGCCTACCTGCCCATGTGTCTAGTTAACCCATTGAGTGGCGATGCACCCTGATGCACCCTACTTTAGTATTTTACTCTGTCTAACGCCAGACGATTTTACTCATCAAGGGGAGAGCGCTGGCGCTTAATGGGATATAGTTGTCTGGCAAGAATCAAACCTGCGGCTCTGCTATTTCAGTGCAGTACTCTAGCCAACTGAGCTATATATCTCAGGCCAGTTGTTAAATAAGTTCATAATATTATATAGGTTACTGCCATATTAGGTTATACTGTAGGTAGTACATATATATATATATATATATATATATATATATATATATATATATATATATATATATATATATATATATATATATATATATATATATATATATATATATATATATTCCTGCCAGGGACCTATATTTGCATTTTTTGCAACTGTTCCTGTTTAAGTGTAATAAATATATATAAATTTCCACTCAATAATTTCCATTGACAAGACCCACAATATAGTATGTATGGCACGACAGTACAGTGTTGTACAGCATTTCACACAGTAAAGCATGGCTCAACAATATGCACCATGCCATGCCTTACTGTAGTGTGTAGTACATACTGTATCTCTATATTGTACTTACTGGTTCCTGATACTTTTAATATTGTGTTCTGCCAATCTGTCCTGTACTATGCGGTTCTGTATTATATATATATACTATATTGTGAGGCCATGCATACTACATTATTTTGCCCTATACTGTATTGTGCCATATTCTGTTTTCTTCTGTTTTGTGGTGGCATCTGTGTGAGCCATATAGAGTATGCTTCTCTTCTTTATAATGTACTATAATGTATTGTACTACTCTGCCATACTGGCATGTCTTGGGCTGCGGTACTGTACATTATAAAACAAAAGAATACAGAATGGCACAATAAAGTGTAGAGCAACACCACAATATATTAAATATGCAAGGCACCACAATATAGTATAAATATACAGCACCACACAGTAGTGTCAGAGTAAGTACACCATTGCTCCAATCAGTACTGCAGTATGTTGGCAGAACACAATATTGAAAGTATACAACTAACCAGTCAATATAGACATATAGGATGCACTACACATTACAGTAAGGCACTGCACAGTGCAGTTTTTACAAATGTAGCAGGTAGCACACTATTATAGAACAGTATGATTGCAACAATATAAAAGCCAGATCTCGAGCCAGATAGTAAACATGAAAGCATAATTGTATAAAAAAGCTTACAATGGGCAGTCAATAGGGCCCATTATCAAAAGATCGTATTATATCAAGAGTACTTACTTCCAGAGAGATTAAAATTGCGTCTCTCGCAGTGTGATTTTTTGTCCAACTTGCTGCATATTTCGCCGTACACGGACATATCACAAAATATATGAAATCTACAAATCCCAATAGCTGTTTACGTTTGCCAAGGAGACGCAAAGTGCCGGGGAATATTTCCCCGGTAGGTAGTTAGGAATCTGTCCAATTAGCATCCAGTAATCGACAAGAGTTCAATTTCCCGACCGGGATAATTATTTTACCGCTCTTTTCTTCAATTTTTTGTTGAGATTTTGTACTTTAGGTTTCAGCACAAAATTTTCTTGATTAAATGTGGATTTTTTACAGAAAAATGCCAGACGAGTACCGGTGTTCTGGTTTAGAATATATATTTGCAGGTAAGGTTGTGTCTTATGGACTTTTATGTTATATTTTTGGTATATTGCATTCAATTTTTTTCAAACAAGCCTGTGGCGGTTTCGCGTTTAAACAGGTTGAACACACGGCGACTGTCCAGGCTGTCAACATTTAAAATCCTTCTAGTGCAGATTGGAATAGTATTTCTTTCTTTTAAGACTGAAATGGACCTTCGGCAACTTTTACATGATGTGCCAAGCGAGTTTTTTCCAGAATGAAGGCAACCTTTCTTGAGAAAGACGGTTCAAAGACCAAGAGTCCAACTATTATTCAAAATAGCAGTTTACCCCACTGTCAAATAAACCAGGACGAAATCTGCCCTGTTTTTCACAAAAATTAGCTTCTGTTTGTGTATAAAATTTATAAAATGCAATACATTTATAGTCAAAAGAGGACAACCTTTGATGCGTGTTGAAGGTTTTATATTTTAGAATCTGATACAAGTTTTTTATATTATTCAGTAGAAGAAGAATTGGTCATAGCTTTCTTTGCAGCACCAGTGATGACTCGAGCTTCAAATAATTAAGGTGAAAAACTATTATTTTTATTCACTGTAGAGTATAAAGCTATGGTATCTTATGGGGCCTGGATATGTATTCCCTTGCAAATTTTTCCTTTTTCCCCCACAAAGATTTCACCATGTTTCCTTGTTTTCCCAACTTTATGGTCCCTTGTTTTTTTATCAGTTTTTTTCTTTGAATTCTGATTGCAAAATATGCATTGTTCACTGGTTTCCTAAAACCAGCCTTGGGAGACCCTCAGTACAGTCTCACAATTATTTGGTGTTAAGAATTTTAGGACCCAAAGGCAACTGACAATGGCTTCCTCTATGAATTCCATTTCAGAACCATGAAAAACTAGTTTGATATAAATATTATAATATGAAATAAGTTCCTCTATAAACATTGCCAGGTTTTTGCAGCTATGAATACTCAAGTCACAACTTAGAAAACCAATAGTAAAATGTGTCTTAGACGTAGTACAAGCTTCACATTTGCCATGTGGTAAATGCTTATTATTTCATATTGTAGGTCGATACTAGCATGCCAAGACACTAGGAAAAGAATCATAGCCTGGATATGGATTATATGGTCATGATGATGCCTATAACTGGCCATTTGAAACCGATTGTCTTATATCAAGATCTTGAGTTGGTTTGATGTCGATAAGTGTCAACTATGTCATGCTGTATAAATAAATTCATCAAAAAAGGATCACCATCGAAAAAGGGTCACCATCAACAGATTCTGGGCGAATGTAATGACAGGCACTTTATTTGCTGCCTACATGCAACATTATTTCTTTAGCAAGGGGGTCTACTGTATATTGATTAATTTAATACAGTATTTGTTTTTTCCCTATCCTTATCCCATTGTACATGCCAAAGCTGCCTCTCTTTGACAAGTAAAATTTGTGGTGTGAGGCAATCAAGTATTATTGCCACACAGGTAGTAATAAACAGAGCACCTTGCCTGTAATGGGCTAACAAACAACATAATTCCTACTTTTCAATTTCAAAAATCCAGGGCAAATTACAGTCCATAAGGCTATAATGCATATGGCTTAATGTGATCTACAGTACTTTGTCAGTTTACTGTGTCTATATACAAGACAATTTACTTGTCAAGGGAGAAATGTTGGGCATTAATGATTTAAAGTCAGTAGTAATTCACAGAAATGAAATTATTAATTCAATTGCATGCAAGATTAGGAAATATCTTGCTTCGTCTGTTACTATAATCAGGATGATACCATATGTAACTAAAGGTTCAAGGTACTGTACTGTACATTTACTGAAGTTCTAACATTGTAATAGTACTTGTTGTCTTTGACAAATGTATGTGGACATATAAATTTGACAGTAACTTAATGTGTGGGTGCAGATGTGCCGTTCGGGGGTGCAGACGTGCCGTTCGATGCTCCGTAGAAATTGATTTCAAATCATCAATATGGTTACAGTGAAGGAGATGAAAGACCTTTTTAAGAAAGAATTAACGCCAATCAACAATACTCTACAGCAATTAAGCTCTAATTTTGATGGCTTAAAAGATTCGGTCAAGTTTCTCTCAGACAAATACGACGATTTACTTCGCGAACTGCACTCAATGAACGAGAAACATGATTTGCAAAGCAAGAATTTAAAGAAAGCTAGAAAAGAACTAAACGAGGCAAAACAACGTGCCGCAGAAGCAAAACAACAAGTCGAAGAACTTGCACAATATATAAGGCGTGACTGTGTGGAAATCGCTGGAATTCAACCTACAAGGGACCTATCATGTGAAGCAATAGTGAATTCAATTGGCGAAACAATTGGAGTTCCCATTACAGCCGACGACATATCAATCGCGCATCCAATACCATCGTATAATCAATCTGCAGCGCCTAAATTAATTGTAAAATTCACTCGAAGACAAGTACGGAATAAGTTTTATCAAGCCCGTAAGAAGCTTGCCTCTAAGAAAGCGAAAGATCTTCCTCGACTTGATCTCGAGTCCGATGCACGGGTATACATTTCTGAATCTCTGACCCCTTACAAGAAGAACTTATTTGGTCAGGTCAATAAACTCAAGAAGCGATTGAAATGGAAATACATTTGGACATATAATGGACGGATTTACCTCAAGCAAGACGAGAACAATGTCGTGCATACTTTCGACACGCTGGAAGACTTCGATAAATTCCAATCAAGGAATCACTCAACTAACAACTAAGTACCGTTTTATTGTTTTGTTGTGTGTATATATTTATATATATATATTAATGCATGATGGCGTACGATAACAACGAATCTCATTTTTTATATGAACTACCTTTTACAATTTAGATAGGGATGCATTACTTAAAGCGTCTGGGGCATGGGCATACTCCAATTCAACTACGAACTTAGATTCAAAAGATTTATTCCAAGATATCATTGAATGCCCCGACAATAATAGAAACCTAGAGGAAGGTATATACAATGAAAATTTTGAATCCAAATATTATAATATCAAACAAACTGGATCCTTCTTCCGCAAGGCTAAAAAACAACATGCGTTTTCCATAATGCACTACAATATGCGCAGTTTGCAAAAAAATCTGTCTATACTACGAGATTTATTAGGTTTAATTAAAGAAATTCCTGACATCATAGCTATTTCAGAAACCAAGTTAAATGAAAATAATACATATAATATCAGTTTGCCCGGCTACGAATTTATACACACCAACTCGAAAACGTCTGCTGGAGGTGTAGGGTTCTATATTGCAAACGGCATAAACTATGTCCCAAGGCACGATTTAGAAATATCGATAGAGGGAGTCGAGTCCAGTATGTTTGAAATTATACGCAAACGACAGAAGAATATTATTCTAGGATGTATTTATCGACATCCATCTAACGACCGTACTCAATTTCATGACACGTTAGAGGCGACTTTGACGGAGCTAAATGGAAAGGGATATGAAGTGTTTTTACTTGGTGATATAAACATAAATTTTCTTAAGTACAATGTCGATGCATCGACATCTGAATATCTTGATATGCTATTTGGCAAAGGTTTATGCCAATAATTACTAAAGCAACTCGCATAACAAATCATACATCGACTCTAATAGATCATATTTACACAAACGTGCCACAAAAAATACTTAAATCAGGTATATGCGTAGTCGATATAACTGATCATTTGCCAATATTCTGCACTGTAGCAGAAAAGGTCTCGACAACTGTTGAA